TTAAGTATGGATTAACCTTAAAAAATAATTTCACGACAAATATATTAACCGACATTAACAAAGTGGTTTAGTGTTACTCTATTTTAAAGTTCAATTTCGTATATAGATTATTATAATAAAAAATAACTAGTCCGCTATCTTAGGTGTTCCGCCATGGTGGATTTAGAATGACGTCACACAGCTAACCATGCATTGCCATCCAAACTTAACGTATATACAAAATTTCAGCTAATGGATTGAAGATACCTGCTTCAAAATAGAGTTGCAAGATTCCACCCGAACAAACATAGTTACATTGCATGTTAAATAAAAGCTTGTAAAAAATAAATTTTCCGATAAAATATCTACATGGATAATTTGTTGAATTATTGAACCGTATTTTAAATTGCATAAAATTTTACAAAATGATCATCGAGCATAGTATTAGTGGACCAAATATCATGACACTTAAAAATTGGTTGTTTGATTTATATTCAATCAAAATTATAAGATCTCTAAGCTCGCCATATTTAAGCGCCTCAATAACGTAATTCTAAAGGTCATACCAAAGACAATTTTACATTTAATTAAATGTTTTATCGATGTTGAAGATGTATTTTGAGGTTAACTTTAATATCTATATATTTAATATTATCACAAATTAAACATTACGACCGTAAGCAAAATGCAAAAAGCAGCCTTTTAATAGAGATAATGTCACTTATAACGTACTTAGTTTAAAATGCCTTGTAATATGTACATGCAATAATAATAAGTTCTAATTTGAAGCTCGCCGACAGCTCCAAGTTACAATTTCTTCGTCTGTGTTCTTTTACAACGGGTAAGTAGCAAAGTTACCTCACAACACAAGAGGGGAATTGACTTTGTTTATTTTATAGTTGAATAAAGTTCAAAGTGGAAACTTAAATTGTGCCTTAATGAGAAATCGGTCAGCCTCCAATTTCGTTTGGAAGTGTCTTGAATGACTCATTATTTATGACGTCACATTTTTCGGAAACCCGTAATAGGTGTCTCCGTTGAATGTTCACTTAATATCACGCACTGTAATAAACTATATACACGTATCATAAGATATTGTAAAAACGATACGATTGCTTAAACAGACAACCCCTTTCTGAGTTATAGTTGAACTAAATTATTGCAATAATGTTAAATATTTTGTTTTATTGGATGTTGTAACTGATTATTGATTATATTTACATTAAATTATTATATAATATACGTAGAGCAGTATGTCTATGTCGTAGCAATAAATTAAGCGTGGCAATAAGGTCTAGTGGATTCGCTTTTGTGTCTTTAAGTAATTAAGTAGTGATGTGTATAGAGTGAGTACCTACCCTACGTCCCCACTAGTCGACCTAACGCTGTACACTGCTTCACACAAGTACGTACACTAAGTTCAAATTCATGAAGCTTTTTCAAAATATATTCCGAATAATTTTATAACATAATGAAAGTTTAAAGTAGAAGGATTTAAATAAGTGTATTTGATATTTCATTAATGCTCGTGTCCTGTTCTTTTAGTGCAAATCTTTTACTTCAAACATATAGTAGATGAAGAGTACTATACTTTGGGGCTTGTTTCTTCTTGCTTTGAGTTATTAATTCTTCCTTGTGTACTATGATATGTCACAAACAAATTATTTAGCGTAAGATAAAGTGCCAAGACTCTCAAATCCTTTCCTAAGTGCAATTCCTTCTCAATTACTGTACCTATATGTATAAACACTTGTATAGCTCATTTCAGCGGACACTAATCAGGAACACCTTATAGATTTATAGAGCCGATGTTGTCTCGCTTAGCCAAATCAATTAACGACAGGATACTTTTATTATTTTAAAGTGTATAAGTTTTGATTTTAGTTATATTTTGTTAGGTGTCATAGGTTAAGTGTAAAAATTTAGTTCATAATACTTTTGTTATTAATTTGAAAGTGTTCGAGATAACAATACAATAAATCAAATAAGTTATTTTTAAAGTTTTATATTAAAAGTATCCTGAAAAGCAAAAGTGAGAGTATATTGTAAATTAATAAAACGCGTAATGTTTAACGGTAATAATGGATAAAGTTAACGATATTCTAAATTATGTTTTGTAGTGAATGTTTTTACTCTCGAAATTAGTTGGTAGTGGGTGGGTGGGGCTAGATTAACCGACGCTGATCGAGCGCAGCTTCGTGCGCAGATGTGGTTAGTCAGCAAGTTGTTGAGCTGGACTAGCGGGCGCGGGTCCGCAGAGCAGCGCCGGGCCGCGGGCCGCCGCCGGCGGGACAACGCCCGACGCACTTTATGACGAGTAGCGAGTGTATAAACTAAGAGACAAACTAATTATAGTATAAAATTGTTTACCAATCGCCCGCATTCCGGGCGTTAGACGAAAATATTATTTTTCTTAGATCACATTATATTGTAATAAAAAGTAAAGTATAGAAGTATGTGCGGTGCGACGGTCTCTCAGACCGGAGGCCTGTCCGTGCGCAACGGTCGAGATAAAAAGCAAATTAATATTTTTTTACGAGCGCTGACATATCCCTGCGGCCTCAGAGGCCCCGCACCTCTCCATATTTGTTATGTTTAAGAGGAAATATCTATTGTCTATTCCAAGGGTTGAATAACTACCAACACTTTTTTATATTACAATAATTATAGAAATTATTATTGAACGTTTCGTTTTTCTTACCCCAGGTTTCATGTTTTATCTGTGTCTATTTAGAATATTAGAAAAGGTAAAGGTACCAACATAATTTTAGTACCTAATCATATTAAATGTATGTATTCTGACAGCTATCCATTTAAACTGGTTATGGTAAGATTATAAACTAGCAAAAGAGGCCTTTTAAAAAACAATCAGAGCAGTGAATACAAAATACATGTTTAAAATAAAACATATTAGGTGTGAATAAAAACCACACCTGCCGTGCCGTGCCATTAGAATCGTTGCCGGTGAGCAGTGTGACCATATGTGGCAGGTTCCTGCCATTTTGGCAGGATTGGCCTCTTATTTCAGCCTCTGGCATGAGTGGTTGACGTTTTATAAAACCTGGCAGTATTTGGCAGTATTGGGGTATTAAAAATGGGTTTCATTATGGCAACTTAAAATGACGAAAATGGCAACCCAGGATACTACTAGATTATGTTTGTATTACATGCAATAAACAAATTTAAAAAATGTTGTGTATAAAGTTGATAATCTTAAGACTAATTAACACGAGTTGGTTAATATTTCAATCAGTCGTAAAAGAGAAGTACTTTAGTTTGGTATCGCATTAGATTTCATAGCGATAACATCTTGTTAATAATATTTCGTGAAAGATAGTAATTATAGGTTGCGGCGATGAAGCGAAAATATGAAAATGCGTATAGAGCGAAGAGGGAGCAAGATCTTTTACTTTCATCATGGATCTCCAAAGCTTAAAATGATCCAGACTGCAGCTGCAAATTGACACCCCGGCTGTTCGTTTCAAAGGAGCATGCCGCTACTAGTAAACATCAAAAAAATATGAGTGGATTCCACATCCGAAAAAATATTCTCTCTCTAATAAATTTAATTAAGACAAAAACACGAAACAGATTTATTTATAAACAAATATTTACTGTCTATCTTGTACGTTAAACATGGCATTGGTGAGCATGGCGATTGCATTGCATTCAAACCAATGAAAGATGTTTAATTTTAATTTAAAAAAATATAGCATTTATATGTGTATTTTTACTTTTCTTAGTTTCATACAATGGTATATAAAGTTGGCAGTATTTAGGCATTTTTCACTACAGACTGGCAGGTTTTTAGCCAAAGTGAGGTAGGATCTGTATTTTAAAGATGGGTCACTCTGCCGGTGAGACTCACTACGCAACTGCATTCTTTAGCCATTGTGATAATATTTGTAACCTAAAATATTAATTATATAAATTTAAAAAAAATATTTCGGCTTATAATATATACAGATATAATAGATACCACGAAAACGAGCGTGAAAACGAAGCCAACCGCAATTTACACCAGAGTTACAAAATATTGATGATCACTCTGCTAACTTTTTGTTCAATTTAGACTTGTCTAAAGCTCATACAATCGTGACACTGCCGTATTTGGTTTTGTCTTTGTGAAAGCATCGTGCTCACCGTACGACGTTCGACATCTATCATCTTCGTAAGGTCTGCTACAACAAATGAACAAAATAGCATATCTCTTCACCTGTAAATGTGGCCTGTTTCTCGTATAAGTTGCATAGTTGCAATTAAATGCAAATGAAAATTTAATAAATTAATAGCACATTGATTTCTCGTATTCGATTCTAAAATTCGCCCTCAGATACGACCCGACGCAATCCGTCAGTAGAGAACGGTCGTGTCGTAAGAGGTTTTCTGTGAAAAAAGCCAAGTTCTCATAGTCTCCCATAGATGGCGGTTAACCATCTCGTATATCCCAGGCGTCAAACACCCAGAACAGCAACAAGGTGCAGCGTCAAAAATGCGAGACTGGTAGGTATACTACGATGGCCAATTATATATAATAATTAAAGGGATTTTTCTGGTAGTGTGGCATCTTACAAGAACCAAGGAATGAGATGGGTGTAGAACATTACGCCGCCCCCACACGGCGGGTATCATGTCAACAATTCTAGTTAATAACTTTACTAGTATGGTTGTAGCACGAATGGGTCGGCTCGACCGGGGTAGAACCACGCTCTCACAGAATACCAGCGTAAAATGGCAGCTTGACACTGCTGTGTTTCGTATGTTGAGTGTACAGAACCGGACTCTTTTTACTGGAAAAGAGGTATTTCATCTTATTCCTCACGGGGACAACGCATCTGCATTTTGATTCGCAAACGAGGATAGATATATGCAGATGTTTATGGGCCACAGCAAACACTTACCATCAGGTGGACTGTATGCTCGTTTGTCACCCTATCCTATATAAAAAGATTAATGGTTTAAGTTAATGATTAAGGTTTGAAAGAAATAAGATTTATTAAAATATAACACGTTTATTAAATTCAGTTTCTAACGTGTTTCTTCTTTTTCTTCTTCTTGTTGGAGTGGGATTCTATTAAGTCGTCAATTTCTTTGCTGTCGTCGCCCAAGCGTTTCTCACCACTGAAATAAAAAAAAAACATTACGAACCCAATAATTAAAATGGCGGTTGGTACTGCGAACATAAAACGAAAAGAAAAAAACAGGGCGATTACAGCGGCGGATTTTCTTCACTATATTCTACATTTTAAACTAACCTCTACAATAAGAATTTATACTGTAATGTGGCAACATTTTATGAATTTAAAGGCTCTACCCGATAGCTGCGATAACGACGCATACACTTATACAAACTGCTGCGGTAATAACGACGCGTTAGAAGTAGAACGCTTGCGTTCTTGCGCCCTGCAATATTTCGAGATATTCTGTTCTTAGCACTTTTTAGCACACTGTATATAGTAGAGCCGTAATTAGACATAGACAAATGCACTGAGATGGTATGGTATGTATAGGTATATTGAAAACTAAAATAATAATACGTTCAGCGCGGAAATCCAACCCATGGCTCAGCCCAGCCTTTCAAGCAAGCAGAGTTATTAGTGTGAGAGAGGTTACTGAGCACATTGAAGATTGTTAAGTAAGAGATCGCCATCTATTAAAAGCTATTTTCCTAAGGCATCTCTTACGGTGCGTACATATTATATAACATAACATGTTATAAAACATATATAACATGTTTCAGTAATGTGGATACTGATTGTTATAAAATATGTTATATAACTCGAGAGTAATTTTCTCTAGTCTTAAAACTATGTTAACCCTGTATCTATGTTTTTTTTTCTTTTGGTATTTAAAAGTACAAGAGTTGCTGCAGCAGCTAGCAAAACGTCTTCTCGTGTCGACATTGTAAAAAGCACTGCAGAACAACAAACGACAATGTCATATAACATTGTTATATTGCATTGTTATTCTAATGTGTACAGTATTGTTATATGTTGCAATATTGAAAAACAATGTAACATAATGTGGACGTGTTATAAAACAAAAGTTACATAACATGTTACTTAATCTGTACGCACCCTTACGACACCTACTGCATGAGATGGGTATTGCTAGATATACATCACAAAATTATACTTTCGATAAAAAAAGTAAATACCAACTACAAAAACTAAAAAGAATAAAATAAGTTACACATATCACATAATAGCTTCTAAGCTGGTGCATCAAAGTTTTAGTCTACAGCCTAAAAATATTTCATTCTTATTTATTTATCTATTAGTTTGTGTACGCACGTCCTTTGATAGGAAAATGGAAAAAAGAACGTTGTACACACTTCTTCTAATTATAAGTTTACTTTACCTTTTTGTGTGACTTAGCATTATCACTTATCAGAAGCTCAAGGTAAACTAATTTCTAGTAGTTTATATATTCTACTTTTGTTTCTAAGAGCCACAATGAAAATATTAGTATTTTTTATTCAAGCTGCCTTCGACCACAAATGTTAGCTTCTGGTGAGTAAAGTATTGTTACAGCCTATAACTGTTCCACTGCAGGCCTGCTCTCATTTTTGAGAGGGTTTTATTTAGGGCGAGGAAGTATCCAAATATTTTTACTTAATTTCTCCGGATGGAGGTTTTTCCAGAATGTTTTCTTTCACCGAGCACGTGGTAAATAAGCACATAAAATTGCAATTAACAATTTTATTGATGTCGGCGGGGATCGAACACCGGTTGCTCGCGTACAACTGTGAAATATGTGACGGGTGCTTATCTCGCCTGAGCCACGTCGGCTTCGACGATGAGTGGTGACATTATATTGTGTTGTTAAGCCCTTTTTCAAATGATTGCGAGTGTAATACTCTTGTCTTGTCTTATCCGTGAAAAGTTATATATTTCACCTACGTATTAAACGACCCGAAACACATTAAAACATACATGTGTACACCACGCGAACGAATGGTCTACATTAATCATTTTTGGCATAGGGTGCTAATAAATTGCCCGGCGTTAACACATCGATTTATTGTTACATAAAATTTTCAAATTGTGCGATAATGTAATAATAGAGTGTAAAAGATTTACCTTTTAACTGAAACAATGTTCTTCTGCTTTGAGGTGGTTAACGCTTGATTCCAGTCTAGGTCGCTGCCTTTGATGCGGTACTGCGTCAGATCTTCACCCATCAGTCGGGACAGCTCTTTGCGTTGCTTGCGCTCCAACTCCTAAAATACGACGAAAATGAGAAAACCGTACATAATTTTCACTGTTGAGCACAGGCCTCTCACTTCTTAAAGCTTTTTATTTTATTTGGCTACACGAAATTTAGATTTTTCCCACACTTGGCTGTCGGGATTATTTTTGAGCTGTAATCATAAATCTGTTGCTGTTCATCTTCTGTTTCTTTTCCCTTTGTTCCCTTCTCTTTGTTAACAGTTGCTACACGCAATTACATGTGTCGAAGTTTCGGATGTCCACATTTTCATATATCTCCGAAATTCGAAGTCCGGAAGCCCGATTGTACTGTTTTTTTTTTAATGTATTATGATATTTTTAATGTCGTGTGAGTGCGCATATACGTTCCTCTATCAGTGAGTTCACGTATTTCGACAACAAATTATATTATCGACTTCAAACTTATTTAATTCGACACGTATTTGCATAATTGTTGATGAAGTTTTCTTCTGTAGTTTTGAACAAAAAAAATTGAATTTACACTAGAGACCTAATGAAAAGTTGGTAGAGAGGGTAGATTGAATCGCTTCAACGCCCATAAACTAATTCAATCTGTTGTGACTAGATACTATAATATTCAGTTTAGTAACTATAGTAGGTACTGTAATATCAAGGTTTTTTTATTTCTACACAAATGTACCGTACAGTTGGACGTTATCTATTCCATAGACATAGACAAAATAAGAATAAAACCACCCTTAAAGCTACATTTACAATTTAATGTTGGTGTTGCCGACACAATCTCAATTTTACATAAATGAAATGGTTATGCGTGTCGCAAGAGGCGACAGAGGTAAACTGCAACAGAAGATGGGCAGCAGCATCTTTCTAATAATAAATACCTCAAAAATAATAAACTGTGTTACTTCACAAGCGTGGCAACTTGACAAATATCTCCAATGTTAATCAATATACCAGTCACATAGCCTTATGAGGCAGTCTATGGGGATGCTTAGGTTTATCAGTGGACTTTTAATGGGTTGTAATGAATGAAATTCATAGCAATTCAATCAATCGCAAGAAGGATAATAATATTGAGGTAAAATCCTTTATTTTCCATTCGTCTCAAATAGAAGAACAGACAGCTTTAACCGTACACATTTCAAGAAATAAAAAATCTTTTAGAAAAACTCATTTATTACTAAACTTCCAAACCACTACGCCAAATATTACAAAACAAAAAAGTACCTTCGCAGCTTTGGACAACTCTGCATTTAGACTCTGCTTCACCGGGCCGTCCATGTTCACGTCAGCGGTTTTATCTTCTATTCCAATCTCTTTCGCTACAGTATCTTCTAGAACGGAGTTGACAGCATTGTTTATCTTCTTACATGCTTCGTAGAATTTAGCGAGGATTTGTGAACCGGGGAGGCCTAATTCAGCGGCTACGTCGTCGACATCTTTCATTTGGAAGCCCATCGCCACGAATATCACCTAAAAAGAGTTTTTGTTATATTTTCAACAACGAGAAAAACTATTAAAGCATGTAATAAGAAATGTTTTGTTTCAATTTAGAATAATTCGCCCACGGCGATATAAATAATCGCGGTAGTTCCAATAGTATTTCGATAGCTTTGATATGTTCGATGAGAGTTGATAAATATTTTGAAAATATCTCGCAATAGCGACTGTCGCTTAAGTAGAGCAAAGTGAGGCGGGCGTCGCTTATCGCCGCAAACGCAGTTTTGTGGTACGAGGCTCGCAGCCTTTGCCAAGTGCGAGGCCGACGCGGCCGCCATTTGTCAGCAAATTTTAGGAAACCTGCTTTTTATTAACGATCGCCGAATAGACTGAAGTAGATAAAGATGCGTCAATCTTTAGGTGCTTTCTTTACATTTATTATGCGGTATACATAATTGATATTTTAAATGCTTTTCTTACTTAATTATTATAAAAAAACTAACAAACATGACTGTAAGAGATAGTTGGTTGTTATCAGAAATAAATTGTAAAAACTCAGACCTGTTGCACGGCATCGAGTTTGACCGGAACTCGAGTGTGGAATAGCAGGTGAGCCAGCGGGGTGATGAGGTCAGTGATGAGTCGGTAGTCAGCCTGTTGGCGGCAGTACGCTTCCAAACGTCCTAGATCGTGACTTGACACTTGTTCCGAAATCAGCTGCTTTGTCAATACTGAAATAAAACTTCATTTCTGAACTCAATTTGACTATGGTCTACTTTTGTACGACAATGACAGTCTATAGACGATGAGTAACAACACCCATGTCCTACACTTGCTGAGCTGCCAACAGTCAAACTCTAGTGAAGAATATGGATTCTAACATGGACTTTTTATACATCTAAAGGTGATAAACAAGCACAAATTTCACCTGATGGTAAAATGATGTGGCACATAGACACCTTCGATTAAAACCAATATGCAGATGGTTCTGATGCATTTATCAAATCCGAGATTTACAACCTTAGTACTTTCCTAGCCTAGTGACCAGTACAAACTATCTTTGTGACTTGTTACTCACCTTAAGAAACACAGTAACATTATGCTGCTATCCAATCGAGCCAAACCATTAGTGTCATAGCTATAATACGAGTATAGCTGCAGTGTTGCTATACCAAGGCAAAAACCTCTTTTAGGGCGAAAAGTGCAAAGTTGCCGCGCCACGAAAAAATTGAAGAATAGTACTATACTAAATTCAAATATCACAACCAATCTGAGAATGGACTTAAAATATTAACGAAGACGATAACTCAAGGTCATATCGAGTATTTTACTTACCAGGCTTATCGATCTTAATGTTATCATTAAGAAGAGTACTGAGGGCGAGCAAAGCAGGCAATCGTCTTAGACTTCGTGATAACAATCTCGACAGACGTTTTCTGAAATCTGCACTATACGCCGCGAGCCACGCACTTTCCGAAAGCGACCGTAGCATTATACACGAATGCTCGCCAGTTAGCTCGTTCGCCTTTTGACTGTGTGATTTGAAAAATATATACAATTTAATAAAATAGCGAAGGCGTAGAAACTGCTAAAGTGGCGTTCTAATTTTCTAGAAAGTTTTAGAGTGTGTACAATTTTCTAGGAAATACTTACAAAAATAACCTAATTTTTTTAAATAAAATTGTACTGACTAAGTACAATTTTATTGTACTAGTATTGTAAGTGGCTACTGCAACCAAATTCAAACAATGGCTTCAGATGCGTTGTCACCTGTGAGGACTAAGATGGAATACCTCACAGCCTTAATTATACTGGCTTTTTGTCTATCTTCTGACCGGGTGTTACCTCACTTGAGATATTCCTAGGCAGAAAGGGAAACTTACCACCTTCACTGTTTTAATGTTATAATAATAATAATAATAATAATAATAATCTTTATTTCGGACCAAAATTAATCCATAGTAGTGTTAGTAATAATTGACTTATAAACTAGTGTTAGTAAACATTAATGTGTGGACAAACTTTTTCAAAATCGGAGAATTATAGTTCTCCGCTACTGTTTTCAAAATGCTATTGTGACTATCTCTCACCCTTCTAAGCAGCGAAGCTGTTTTCTTACGTATTATCGCATGAAAACCGTCCGTGCGAGCTTGCGCAAACATCTCCGACGCACTACAGTATCGAGGCAGTCCCAACAACATTCTGAAAGCATTATTATATTGAACATTGTTATATTGATAACAATTTTAAGTGCTAAAGTACCCAGTGTTTAGAAGTGAAGCAAAGTAGTTTAAGGTAACACTAACAAACAAATTTGGTAGGCTAACTGGAGCAGCCTACGTTAATCTTTTTGAGAACGTGCCATTGCACGTTTAAAAACTGATGCTTGAAATACATATTTCTATCATAATGTTACCGTGTAGTGGCGGTGTAAGAATATCCACTATCCCATATCGTCCCGTGGGTGATGTAAGTGGCGACAGAGGGAAACAAACTAGCAACAATGGGCAGCATCGTCTTCCTAATAACGACTATAAAATAAAAAACTGCGGTTGCCCACCCGCTTGCTAAGTATAGCAATTATGGCAAAAATCACCTTATGAGGTACTCTATGGGGAGGCCTATGTTCAGCAGTGGACTTTTTATAAGGTGTAACAAACAATGACGATCAAAATATACTTATTATATTTTTAAAACTGAGTCTTAACTAATGGCCGATTAGTTAAGACTCAGTTCTCACTCAAAAAATATACTGTAAGACTTTTTTACCGTCTTGGAAAAAAATATACCCTAGTACCAGGCACCTGTCATATATGTAGGTGAACAGTGTAGAAGCCTGTGGCAGTGATGTTTGTGTATAGTGTATAGTGACAATTATTTTTTCATTAACATATATGAAATTGATCTATCAATAAATACTACTAATTTGAAGTAGATATGAGCGCCGCGCCGGCGCGCCGTCGTCGCCGTGAGTTCCTGTGGGCGCGTCGCGCCGTCGCGACGACAACCAACTTCCTATCTCCCTCACACGCGCGGCCCGACCGCATTAGTTTGCCTTGTCGCCTCGCCACGTTCGTCGCTCACTCAGTCGACTCGAATATTTCACCGAGTGAACGTGTATTGTTGTGTGGTGTTATCAATGCCAGCAACTTCGACTGTTGCACGTATAGGCCGGCTCAAGCCGGGATGGTAACGGAATTAAATGTAATACTATATCAGAAGGGTACCAGCACCCCGGTAATGGAGAATCCTTTTCCGCTCAAGACAATAACTGCTCGGGGCAAGCTGAGCAACAAGGCCAAGGCGAGCCCTGCCACGTGACTTTCTGTAATATCTGGAACTTCACTCGAACCTAAACGCCGTCTACTAACATCTCGAGACGGCGAAGCTGGCCTTGCTATTTCTGACCGAGATGCAGGTGTCCTCTCCGGCTGATACTTCGTAACTCTCCTACCCCGGGGTACAAATTGGAATACTCCTTATGCCTCGGGCTCGAGTTTGCGAACACATCAGAGAGGACATCTGTTCTCGACGCCTCGGCAGTCTTGAAGAACCTGTCCATCCTTTGGCTACACGTAGACAGCGAGGACCATCCGCATGTTCACGGGTGCCTCTATAGGTCCCACAGCGGTAATGTTGAAACAGACCGATTCACATCCAAATGGGTAGCCATATGATGGGATGGGATCTGCTGTAGCAAGGAATCTCTACAGATTCCTTGCTACAGCAGATCCCATCCGCAGAGATTGTGACCCTCAGCGATTGTAACGCTCACCACGCCGAATGGCTCGGTTCATGTTTAATCGATCATGCGGGGAGATCTGTTCATGATTTTGCCTTGACATATGGTCTGACACAACTGGTAACTTCGTCTACGCGGATTCCAGATGTGGAAGATCACGCACCTTCCCTGTTGGACCTTCTGCTGACCTCTCATTCAGATATATCAGGTCTCCGTCCACTCCCCTCTTGGCTCCTCAAATCATTGTCTAGTCCGAAGTGTGGTGCCACTCACACTAACATCGTGATTGCATTCTGCACGCTGACTAAAAAGGCGACCGCTCAGACCCGTCTAGCTATGCTTATCGCCATCACCTAGTTCTCCAAAATAATGGAATCCATTATTAAACTGCCAGCTCATGCGGTATCTTGACGACCACCAGCTAATTAGTGACCACCATTACGGTTTTCGTCGCGGTCAGTCAGCTGGTGATCTTCTGGTCTACCTGACTCATAGATGGGCGGAGGCAGTAGAGTCCAAGAGAGGCATTGGCCGTTAGTTTGGCCATTGCGAAGGCCTTCGATCGGGTTTGGCACAAAGCGCTTCTTTCGAAGCTCCCTTTCTATGGGCTTCCCGAAAAATTGTGCATTTGAATCAGCTTTCTTGCAGATAGGAGTATCTCCTCAGTTTCAAGGCACTCCCCTTGTTGCCGCAGCCAGTATCGGAATCCTCGGCGTCTACATATCGAGTGACGTGCAAGTTTCGTGATCACTTGGAAGAAAAGGCCAAATTGGCCTCTAAAACGCTTTGCGTGCTCAGCAGAGCGGGACAGTATTTCATACCAGCACACCGCCTGCAACTTTACAAGGCGCAGGTTCAGCCTCACATGGAATACTGTTCCCATCACTGGGCTGGGGCTTCCCAGGGCTTTATAAGCTGTTTTTGGTATCAAAAATATCGCTTTCTTTAAGTTTTTAAAAAAAATATCTTCCTGATAAAACAATATCTAAGGCCCACGGCCGGCCACGCTGCGCCGCCGCGACGCCGCTGCCGCCGAGGAAATTTCCAGGCCACACCGCCGCCGTAGAATTGGCCTTCGGCGCTCATATCTAATTTGTAGTAAACTTTCCATACTAAAAAAAAAAACAAAAATTTTGAAATAAATACATCAATTAAAACCTATCGAAATTCAAATCATACGCACTTACTTTATGAGCCGCAATAAAATCAATGAATTTTTAACGCGATACTATCTTTCACAGGTCACAGGGTCGCAGGCGCATGCGCATGTGCCACTCGCGCTCTCATTTCGGTCACCTGCGATTAGCTACGGTGTGACGTCGTATTGTTTATGTTTACGCGTGTGTATCAACCGCCTGCTTATCATCATCATCATCATTACAGCCTTTCATAAGTCCACTGCTGAACATAGGCCTCCCCCAAGGAATGCCACAAAACACGGTCCTTAGCCACGTGCATCCATCGACGTCTTACCAGGTCGTCACTCCATTTCGCCCTACACTTCGCCTACCAGTACGAGGCTGCCACTCGAGAACCTTTCTTCCCCATCGGTTGTCGGTTCTTCAAGCTATATGGCCGGTCCATTGCCACTTCAGCTGACTAATCCGTTGGGCTATGTCGGTTACTCTGGTTCTACCGCGGATATCCTAATGTCTAAGTTTATAACGCAGAGAAACCGCAAGCATAGCCTTCTCCATAGCTCGCTGAGCGACCTTGAGCTTCCTCATACGGCCAGCAGTGAAGGACCACGTCTCAGATCCGTAAGTCATCACTGGCAACACGCACTGGTTGTACAATTTCGTTTTCAGGTTTTGAGGTATACCTGACGAGAAGATGTGTCGTAGTTTCCCGAACGCTGCCCAGCCGAGTTGAATCCGTCGATTGACCTCTCGGTCGAAGTTGGACTTACCTAATCGGACTATTTGTCCCAGGTAAACATACTCGTCAACAACTTCGAGCTTAATGCTCCCAACAACCACCGGCATAGGTGTGACATGGACGTTAAACATGATTTTTGTTTTGTCCATGTTCATCTTAAGACCTATCTGTTGGGAGACACTATTGAGGTCATTGAGCATAGTACTTAGATCCTCCAGCGATTCTGCCATAAGGACTATATCGTCGACAAATCGAAGGTGAGTGATGTACTCGCCATTGATGTTAATACCGTATCCTTTCCAGTCCAGCAGTTTGAAAACGTCTTCCAATGCAGCGGTGAAGAGTTTCGGGGATATAACGTCACCCTGTCTTACACCTCTCTGCAGTTGGATAGGTTTCGTACTCTGATTCTGTACTCGGATAGCCATCGTAGCTCTACTGTACAAACACTTCAGCACTTCGATATACCGACAGTCAACTTGGCACCGCTAAAGGGACTGCAGTACCGCCCAAATTTCGACGAAATCAAAGGCTTTCTCATAGTCCACATACACAAGGCAAAGAGGTAGATTGTACTCTTCGGTCTTCTGTACAATTTGCCGAAGGGTATGTATGTGGTCTATGGTACTAAAGCATTTTCGGAAACCGGCTTGTTCGGGAGGCTGGAAGTCGTCAAGTCTGCGTGCGAGACGATTCGTAATGACTATCGAAAACAGCACGTAGACGCGGCTCAGAAGGGAAATCGGTCTGTAGTTCTTCAAGAGAGCGTTGAAAGCTTTTTTGAAGAACAAGACCACCGCACTTCTGCTCCACGCCTACGCCACGAGTAGTGCCACCATGGAGGACGGAATTAAAGATCTTCTGAAGGACTT